GGCTTTAGCTAGAAGAATACACGTCCCACAAAATTCAATAAATACATTACAAGGTACTAAAGATATTTATCAATACTGCAAACACTCACAAAAAAGTATTAGGAACATTGTGCTATAGTTTTCGAGAAAAATATATCAGGAATTATTTGATTTTTTTTAATTTAACAGAGATAATTTCTTCGCCTATTTTCATATTGACCTTTAAATTAATTATTTATTTTCAAATAAAATTAGTTACAGGGACCTGTCTGATGAAAGCTGAAGAAATGCTGTCCAAAAAACGGGCATAAATCCGACGATCAGTGTCACGGAAGCTGTCCTCTTAACAAAAGGTGATATCCCGCCCGGGCGTTCGGTGGCCACCCATAACGCGCCTATACACTTAGAGGGGCGCCGAGAAATCATTTAGCAAAACATCTGTCGTCCAGCGGCTAATGCTTCACGCACGACGCCGTCCACACAGACATAATTGACAGGGTAGTTTATGAGACTGGGACTTGACCATGCCGTCCATGGGACACTGCCGTCCATGGGACACTGCCGTCCATGGGACACTGCCGTCCATGGGACTCTGCCGTCCACGGGACACTGCCGTCCATGGGACACTGCCGTCCATGGGACACTGCCGTCCATGGGACACCGCCGTCCACGGCACAGTATCTCGGAAGCTCTTGCGCAACCTAGAATTGATTAGACTTCTGTTAATTTTTTAATCAATTTATTAATTTATCTTTCAATTCTTTGGACGGCATCAATTAATAGATTCGATTGAACTTTTTAACTGATGAAGGAGCCTGGGCGTCGTCTTGTTAAAAATGGAATTACGAAAAACCTGCTTGACATTTTCATCAATTTTATTTTTTTAACTAGCCTTTGAGTAAGCTAAACAATGATATAATATCATCAAACACGGTTTTTGGAATCGACGATCTATTTCAGATGTTTTGGTTTTCACTTGTTGCTGTCATCGTGCAACTGCAATCAGTGCACTAGATATTTAATGGCTGATAGTTATTAAATGATGCTTGATTGTTTGAACTGAAATTAAATGTTGAAAAAAATGTCCATATAACTATCAGGTTAACCCGGCGTCGCTTGGAGGTTAGCAGGTTACCAGGTTAAACTCCCGCGACGGATTGAGCCTGCGCCACTTGTTTTTGAGATTTTTTTTAACAAAACAATATTTTTTTCAACAAAATCTTTAAGCATGCTTGCTTCCTCACACTTTTTCCCCGTCAAATGCAATGATGCTTGGCTTGCTTGTATTGCTCTTCGTTGTACAAATTGGGTGTACGCTCTCGAGAACACTCATTCAATTTGCCAACACAATTCATGCAAAAAATCATGCATTGTTATGTTTAATACTGATGACAGAATACTGAAATTCCCTCAATTGGATATTGAGCCCATGATGATGAAATTTACTTCAGAATATCTCGTGCCATAATACTTGTAGCAGTCCTTTCCAGTTACAAATGTATTTCATTTATTTTGTGCAAAACTCTCCAATTTCATGGAAGCAGTATAACGTATTTCAAAATATTATTCAAAATCAATATATGTCGATGAATTAAGCACTCCTTGTTAATATCAGATATTATTAAATTTTACGTATTTAAAGAATAAAAATTTATCAAATCACTTTGCTTGTTTGTCGCTATTTTGTTTATACACGGCAAACCGACCGCATGAAAGGTCAGCTCAATTAACAATTAAGCATAATTCGCAGTAGCGATCAATTTTCTCTACAAGAAAACGAATTTATGACTTATTCATCCACACATAATAATTAATATATCATTCATTATCTACTTTTCGATTACTTACTCAGTTCTGGTAGGATAAAAATTTGAAAGACGGTATTAATGTAGACAGGAGCAGCAAATTATCAACCAAACGTAACAGATTCCCTACATCAATTGATATGAATATTCCTGATAACGTACTTATTTCAGCAATAAAAACTTCGAATGAACGTACCAAACATTCGTAATGTACCGAACGTACCAAGCAGAAATGAAAAATTTTTCGTTTACGTCCTTAAAAATTTGAACAAAACCCACACTGGAAACTAAAGGTGTGTCAGGGACGGCCGTTTTCAAAGTGGCCTCTGCTCTTGGAATTTTTAATAAGGAGGCCTCATCGACACGTCAGTCCTTCGTCAAGAGGCTTGTTATTAACTCGTAATTGACCTGTTATCAACTGGTTATTAACAGGTTAGGCCGGCAGGACAGCAGAAAAACAGCTCTATAGGTTAACAAGGAACGTTGTTAGTCTATTAGACGCATCTGTCATTACAACAACACGCGACGCTGTAAATCACCGTTAATAACTGTAATTTGAACACCGCTGATTGGTTTTAACGAAGGAACACACAACATCCTTTGGTGCGAACATCTTTCTGAGACTACGATGAATCTTGGGCGGCGCGTGGTACTCATTTATTGGTGCAAGTCTTAAGACACTTTGTTTTAGATTTGATTTCGTTTGTTTTTTGTTTTATATTTGATTTCGTTTGTTTTTAGGGAAAAATTGCACCCGTCTCTCAAACTCTTCTGAACTACGACCATGAAAAAATTAGTTTGAATTAATCGTACAACAATATTTTTAATTTACTCGTTTTTTCGTTACTCAAAGAATTGATCAGAAAACAATTATAAAAAGAATTCCGAATGATTCAAACACAAAATAATCTTGATAATTAAAGGAGAAAATGATGCAAATTAAGTTGCTCAAAACGTTCGAAATTTATTTTATAGTTTAAAATATTAAAATATTTCAGGGGTAAAAAATAAGAACAAAAAACAAAGGCAAAGAAAGCCCAGTTACAAATGTTTCAAGACATTTGAACTGAATTTTTAGGACACAACTTAAAATATACTCCAAATTCAGTAGCTTGCTTCCTTTCTATTTCAATTTAGCTCCTTTTTCACCTTGAAACAATTTATCTCATCCCTATACTGAGGTAATTAAATGCTTCAGTTTCCATCAGTAGACGTTTCAGTGACGCTTACATGTTTTTTCTTTTCTCCATGTAGGTGTATGAGGAACCTCAGACCGTTCTGCAGAGCTTATAAACAAAACACGTTGCTATCTTAGTCGAAAGAATCTGTTTCCTGTATAGTTTTTCTTAATTTGCCAATTATCATCTCTGAATCAGGAATAACTTTTAATTCATCAAGGAATGTCAACGTCAAGTTTTTCAGTTCATCGCCAAGTTCAATTCTGTCGAAAGCCATATTGAGTATGGTGGTAAAATTCCTTGATGCTTATGGGACATTTTCCAGAGGCTGTACGGAGTTGAAGAAATCCTAGACTTGAAGCTGAGGTTGCTTAAGTTCAACAATTTCTTTCTTGGCTGCTTGCAGGTCGTCTAGCACAGCCACTTGCGCTTCAGAAAGATCACTTAAATCGCATGAGCTTGTGTTGCTCTCGAGATTGAGTTCTTGCATTATATTCATCACATTAGTCCTAAGTTACGGAAAGAAATTGATATCGTTTTCTGAAGTCTAGCATTGCAGGTTGAGTTCTCTGATGGTTGCAGCGGCTTGCTCATAATGCTCGTAAGATACAAATCTGCCTCTTATTTTTGATTACTCGATGTTTTCCAAAGAAATTGATTTGTCGTTCTCTTTTTCATCATGTCGAGGGTTCTTTTTGAAGCGTTACCCGTCATCTTCTTGCGTTGAATCGTTGCGCCCGCCACAATGCAAGCTCTGCATCAACTTTGCAAGCTGATTTTAATCGAAGGCAATGACTTACTTACTGGAACGGCACGCACCATGTAAATAATGCCTGGCAAATTCCGAGGGCTGTTCACGATCATACCCGATAAACGAATTTTGCAGATGCAACTTCTTGCTGGGGACAACGTCTTCAATCGTTAACAGGTCGTTCTCTTCACACCAACTTCGGTATGCACTGTATGATGTGCAACCTTAATCTGCATCCTATACATAATTTTCGAAATTATTTGTCGCTGGATGATGCGCCGCTTCTTAATGAAATTCTTCAGCTTCAGGCCAGTTTTCTGCAAAATCGAGGGCGGGATTGCATTTGTCCTCCACGTACTGGGAATTTATTAAGTCTAAGCCTTTTTCAGCCCTATTTTTGAGTGTTGCTTCCTTCACATCCATTGATCTTTCGGCTACATAAGGAATAGGGGGCTTGCCTAGGCGAAATTTGTGATATCTTCGCATCTTGTCTCAACAAATGACGAGAGGGACGACAGTTTAAGCTTTGAATTATAGTGCAGTGGACCATTTGCTTCGAATGTCGTAGATACAATACCAATGACGATAAATCTTATCTTCTTGCCTCACAGGCTATAGCTTCGATAATCCTTTCGTCAAATTGTCTCTTATGTAGGAGTATCCAAAGCATTCACATTAATAAAAAACTTGATTCGGCTCATGCGAACTTTCAGCTAACAAAATACAATATATTCAGATTTCGAACTTCGCTAGAAATGTAAATTTGGAATTTCAAATCGAAGAGTAGGATGACGGATTAAATATTAAATCAAAACGATATTTTTATTGCAGCCACTCTGTATGTATGATAGATAATTTCACCACTAAAACACAATATCTCGGTGCTGCCTCAACTCAATAGGAACTTGGATACGAAATTGGAAACCTCTTCTTCGTTGCTGAAGCACCGGGCTTCTGTAACGGAACACATAAAAATATCCATACTCTTAAATCAATAAAATTTTAGACACGAAGCGATTCAATTATAGTTGCTTTCAGGTTTTATTTTGGTTATTATAAATTATTTTACTGTAGAGTGTTCATCCAGGAGGCAATCGCAGTAAAAAAAATACGAGAGTTGATAGGTTTTGGGGATGTACATCAGGTTTTTCCTGAATAAAAGAAGTAATCTGTAATTATACCCAAATAATAATTGCTTGTTAAAAAATATCTAGCTGCTCATAAGTAATGATGATCCATGAATTATATGGAAACAAATTGTTAATTATGTTAATATTTTTCTTTCAGTCGGACGATTTTCACGTCGTTCCAGTTGGAAGAACTGGAGAAAGCTTTCAAGGAGTCGCACTATCCTGACGTCTACGCGCGGGAGATGATCAGCCTGAAGACCGACCTGCCCGAAGACCGGATACAAGTGAGTCTTCGTTCCTGCGTGATGTAAATAATCAAATTCAGTATCAGTAAGCATTCAGTATCAGGAATGGTAGAACCTGAAAACCGACCGCCGTGAGACCTAATTCATGACTTAAAGGAGACATAGTACAGGTATTCTTCAAAATATTGTTTCTTTTTATTTAAATTGCGGACTGATTATTTTGTGTCCCTGAATTGGTGGATACCATTAAGAAAACATAAATGATAGGTTTAAGACAGCGTTTTAAACTCATTAAAACAATAAATGATCATAAAACCATATCAAAACATTTTCGTGATCATCCTGTGCCGAGACCACGAGTCTCTAACGTGCTATTGCATGGCGCTATATCTCCTCCCAGATCGATTGGGCTCCACGTATCATCTAATTCCGATCTAATAAGAAGAAGCAGCCAGGCGTTGTACTGCCGCTGTGTGTGTACAAAATATATATCTATATAAAGACCTGCATGATCATAGAGCTCATCTCAAAACTTGCATTGGCTCCCGCGGTGAAATTGAGCGCGAAAACTTCTAATGAGAGAAAGGGAATCGGCCAAAGAAGCCTACCGACGATGCAGCTCAGCTCTGTGTCGTCATAATGAAGAAACGATTTAAGCTGCGGGACAGATTTTATTAGTGATTGGTCTTTACGGGCCAAACTGAAACTTTTAGCAGATGTATTAATTTATTAACTATACTTAATTTGTTATTGTTCTGTATACAATGTGATACATATGCTCAACTGATAACAAATAATTAATATCCATGAAATTAAAAAAAAGTATTTATAAGTGGTTTACAAATTAACAGGCATGGGGCGTCTGAAAAATTTTCACGAAAAATTAGAAAGCGAAACAAAACCTATGATACAAACGACTTAATTTTTGCGATTAACATATTTCGCTGTGTAACATTTCTTTTTTCTGATGATAAATTGCTTATTATTTTATTTCAGATTGCGACAAGTTTACTTACGTGTTTCGTGAATTTCAATGCCTAAATTGACGATGCTTTTCATTTTTTAGAATTGAACCTTTTAGACTTGCACGACAAATGATCAAAATCAGCAATGACAACATTTTACACTCGTACTTCATTGCTACAATTTCGGAAAAATATTTGCTGACCATTATGCATTAAAAACATGGTTTAGTGTGCTACTTACATTTGCTGTCTATTAAACTATCACGATTAAAATTTTCCACGATACAAATTAATAATGAAAGTTTTCTACGTGAAATTGAGAGCCGACACGCGTATTGCTAATATTTTTAAGTGATAAACATGTTCCAAAGCCATTCAAGCGTCCATTTTAATTGTCGAGCAATTTAACATGTACTCATGAACTCATTAGAAAAGGTATTGAAATTTTAGTTCTTCCATTTATTAAAAGTATTCAGGAATGATTCAAGCCAAACTTCACAAACTGCACTGCTGAAGGAAAACAATCACGAAATTATGGACTGAGTTTTACTCACAATAGCCTATGATATTTCATTGATGGAGGCTTTAGTCTACATCATTTACTTTTGTGTTTGACCTTTTAGCCGATCATCCATGTGAACCTAGCGACATTCCGTGATGTTGTGGAGTTAAACCAACGGTAACCATAACAAGATTATTAACGGCCTCATCACATTGAACGTCGCTCAGAGTGATGAGACTTCCTTATTGGGAACCAAGGGCGAAATGGCCAACGGCCACCGACGGCCCGAAGTTATACCCCAAGATGATACGACGATGATTCTCAATAGGGTTACTTCTCTTTTGCGCGAGTATGAAAAATTTTAAGGTTTTTCTTAACGGGCGAAACAATACAATGGGAACAAAATTGACCAATTGAAAATTAGTGGTGGTTGATCAGTGGTCCCTGATTAACCGACGCTCGACTACAGGTCCGAAGTGATTATTTCAACAGGGTTGACTGAGCTGCGCAGTGCCGTTTGATTCCAGAAACAACCTCCAATCAAGCTTTTGTTTTATGCCAAAAAATATAATGAAAATATAACTCACTAATCACTGCAGTGAGTGACAGAGAGCGCATTTTCTCAAAATCGACGATAACGTGAAGTCACGGACAGACGGACGGAAAGACAGACGGACATGACAAGTGCAATAGCGAATTTTTTCCATAAATGAGAAAATACGATAATAAGTGAACACAGGTGCAAACTAACTATGATTTCTCCCGTTTAATCGATACCTCAGCTCAGCCGTCACGGATTCATTAATTATTTTAAGATCTAAAAACCACAAACATTTTATAAACAAAAAAGTCGTTAATCGAAGCTTCACTAAACATAATTTGCCATTCAATCAATTTGTTCTATGGCAATGGCATTTTATAATAGTTTGCTTCAAAAGATTCGCACACTATTACTAAAGTAATGGCGTTCCGCAAATTGCTGTTTTTTTCCTATTCATAATTTTATTATCTTTGTTTCATCACCTAACGATATTAAATGAGTATTAATTGATTAATAACAACCACTTAATTTGATTGCATGGCACTCAAACACAATATTTTTTTTCAACCATCCTTGAGTTCTGAGTTCCGTTCATTTTGCACGCCTCTCATCAAAATTTAGGTGCTTCTCTAGAAGAAAATTAAAATTGTATTGACGGGCTCATTGAATTTTGTATCGACTAGAAGTATAGTGATTATCTGAATGTATGACATAACGTTATTAAATGCGATCAAAAACAGGACCCGAAAATTTTTACTCTGCGTTAGAAAATCAAAAACAGTATTCGAGAAAATTTGCAGAGTACGTATTATTTTCGCAAGATTTTTATGATGCATAAACTGAGTTCTAACTGATGGACAGTGCATGATAAAATATTAATTTGGGTAGTGAGTGACGATATTGATGCCATTTTGGGCAAACGGTTGTAACTATAAATTTCTGGATGACGAAATGTAACTCAGAAAAATCTATAATTAATTTTTGTAAAGTAACCCGAAGGTCGCCGCCATATAACACACATACACCGAACATATCGCATCCCGTACGACAGACTGAAAATAAATTCCCTACAAGTCAACAAGCACGGCTGCCGACAACGCGTTATTCTGTCGTGAAGGCTTGCGGTGTTGATAATTACGAGCTCTTAGCTGTGGAGAAGAGTTAAGCATCTTTTTTCCCCTCTTTCCCTCTATCTTCCCTTCTCTTTCCACCTTTCCTTCTCCCTCCCTTTCCTTTCCTTCTCGTCCTCTTGGACGCGCTCAAGTCGCGTTCTTTCTTGCTCGCTCTCTCCTCCGGTACTCAAGAGCGTCTTAATTAACTGGACTTCACATGAGCAGCTGCCTCCATTAACTCCCTGAACATTTTAATTTGGATCTTTGAAGATGGAAATTTTCACCGAAAACGACGCCAAAACTGTTGACATTCTTGCCGCGTCGACCTCGTTTGTCTGCTACGTAATACAAGAAGCTTGATGTGCGCTACAAAGGCCTTCTGTCTTAAGGCCTAATGAACATCTTTTTTGTATACGAAATAACAGGAAAACATGGTCGGATTTCTATCAGTTCCAGTCAATTTAAAGTTGCTGATTGCCTTAGAATTTAGGAGGATTTACTTCTATTTCCCGGCTCTCGTTCTAATGAAATAGGTTTATAAAATTACAAGTGAGCATCGGTAGCTTTTGATCAGTTTTAGGTAATTTGGAGCTGTCAATTGGCAATAATCTTTACTTGATAGCTTAATTTTCTGATGCTCACGTGATTTATTAGCAGATTAGTTTAACAATATATATTTCTACCTTTCAATCAGACCTAGAACATTCAAAAGCATTTAATACCTACACATTCCAGACGAATTAAACCAAAAGTAGATAATTCTTCAACAAAGTTATTGCCATTTTCAAGCTTATAAATTAAAAAACGTTTCTTTAGCTTTCACTCATCTTGTGGGAATGATCGATTGCCCTTTAATTCTTAATGATTTATTTCCAAATTGAACATTTTAATGCGATGCAAAGTTCTCTGTCCCTTGACAAACACCAGAGTTTGAGATGAGAGGATTTGCTTTACATAAGCGCCGCCTAATAGCCTACTGCAAATTAGTTCAGACGATTCCTACGACGAAATCTTCTACAAACTCAATGTTTGTTCCACCGTTACGTCGATAAAGATACTCGGAATCGTTTTGTGTTGGACTTTTTTTTATTGATAAATAGGCCTAATTTTGTTGAGAAATAGCGTAAAGTTTATTTTTGGTTGGCATGAATTAATAATGAAAAGGCGATTTATCCTATTGCAATTCCATTTATGCTGAAATCTCCACCATGAATGCATAAAACATCTACAACTACTTCACTGTTTCAAAGAGGAAAATTACAAGAAGGTACAAAATAATTTAATTAGTTGCGAAAGATTATAGACCTGCGAACCAATAAATTTTCTGCATAACATTAAAAAACAACATTTCAGTATCAAAGTAATCGCAGTTAAAATCGCAGTTCATTTTGATTTCAACTCTATATCGTTTTGGGGTGCTCATGTGCAGCCGGTTATTGCTTCTTGCTTCCAAATGAAATAATATTTTGATTGTTTTTTATCATAGCAAAGTGCTTCATGCACCATTTATTGAAAGATTCAAGAAAAATAACTTTCTATGGTCACCAATGAAAACTAAACAGAATAAAGTAATTTAATTGCAGATACGCCAGTGATTCAACGTTGTTAACAAAGTGCTTGCCAATTGCGAAGGCTGTTTGTCGCCAAGATGTAACAAAGGAAGCTTTCTGGCGCCCGAACTTCGGCCCAATGATCCAATCAAGCAAGCAAACAAACACTCCTGCTTCGTCCAAAAATATTCGTTCTTCCCATGAATATTTGATGGCGCTGCGCAATGTTCGAATGACTCATACACGAAATGTTGAACGGAAATGTTTCGTCGAAGTCGGCCGAGTCAGAAACGGGCAGTCGCTGGTCATTAGAGAAAATACGGAAACCGGAAATTGTTTTCTCTGCCGAGATTTACAACGAAATTAAAA